CAGGCCCTGTGCTGGGTACTCATGATACAGAAAAGCAAAGCTCAGGCCTCCCCCAGTTACCCATGGCTGGCAGGGGAGAGAGTAGCATAAGCAGCTGTTCCGATTTGATGCGAGCAGAAGGAAGCAGCAGCAAAGTGGAAACGCTGTGGTTAACAGTCATGCTTCATTGAGAACCTGCCCTGTGCCACACTGGATACAGTTGTCTCATTTGAGCTTCACAGCAGTACTTGGAGGTAAAGATTATCACATCCCCACTTCACAGCTCAGAAAACAGAGACCCAGAGAAGGCAGCAGGGCAGCCAGAGGGAGTTCCTGCCCCAGCCCATCTTTTGAGTTGGATAGTCTTCCTCTGGGTGTCTTGAGGGTGGCGAGCACATGGCCGTGCCACCTTAGGGGCCTGGAGTTGGCCTCTCTTGGTGGCTTTCCATGCACTTGCTAAGCATTGGCTGAGCATCTGCTGTGTGCAGCGGGGTTCCAGGCACCACAGCCAGCAGTGACCAGGACACATCCCCTGCCTGAGGAGTTCACCATCTTAAGGGAGAGACCAAGAGCGAGTGCAGATACAGAGCTACCCAACCGGCATGTTTTAAACTAGGGGAAAGCACAGAGAGCCAAGAGAACCAAGAACAGCAGCTTGGATTGGGGTTGGGTCCTGAGCAGCTCTGGGAAGAGGAAGGTATCAGTTAGGCAGAAGAGGGACCAGTTTCTAAGGCCAAGCGCAGAAGAGGGAGGGTAAAGGAGGGGTGTGGAGGAGGCTCTGCCAGACCTGCTTCTGACCTCAGTCAGAGGCCCCAGTGGCTGCAAAGGGCCTCAGCAGGGCTCAGAATACAAGCCAGTGAGGGAGTCAGAGACCCAGGCAGTTGTAACACAGCTGCTCGGGGAACCTCGCCCCATTTGGAAAGGCTGGAGGGGTGGCGGATGTGGCCAGAGACGTCCTGTGGTGCCTGGGGCTGAGGCTCTGTTCTAGCTCAAGACCTTCCAGTGATAGCCATGGAAGGCCAAAAGAGGAGCCAGGCGTTGTGTGCTTTGTTGAGGGGCTGCCCAGAGAGCTGCATGGGGAGGCAGCATCTGAAATGGCCCTGAATTTTAATAGGCTTTTAAGTTGGGGACAATTAGCAGTAACAGGCACCATGTATTAGGCTAATTCTGTGCCGGTTCTGGATTCTGCTCACCCAGGAAACGTTTGCTGCCAGTCAGCTATCTGGGCGGACTCCAGGACAGGAAAGCCCTGGCTGGGAGCCTGGCGGCCGGGGTTCTAGTCCTGCTGTGTGGTCTGAGACACTCACTGCCCACCTCAGGGGCTCATTTTCTCCTCCTGAAAGAGAGATAGACAAGATGAACTGCACGAATCCACCCAGCCCTGGCCTTCTGTAGTTCCAGCAGCCACACGGCCTGTCTGCTCACAGCCTGAAGGCCAGCGCTGCCCGGAGTGGAGCTGGCAGGGGAGCTGGATTATCAGCACAGGGGAAGCCACAGTCCCCCCCAGGCTGGTCACTTACAGCCATCCTTGGAGTGGTTGCAAGGCTCATTTTGAAATGTGTTGGTGATACTGTGATGCCCACCCATCTTGGGGACACAGTGCCCCGGAAGCACTCACACTGAGCAGACTCCAGCCTGGCTGTCGGGAGAGCTGCAAGGGCTCTTGTCTCAGGAAGCCCTCCCCTCACTTTGGAAAACAGTTTTTAATAAAAATATATTTATTTATGATAATATGTAATAAGTTTTTAATTTTTAAATAAGTTAACAAACATAAATTCCTCTCCTTTAATTTCTAGTATGGTAAATAGTAATAGCTGTAACCCATAAGTACATATACCAAAGCTCTTGAGGCTCCTCTATAATTATTACGAACTTAAAGAGGTCCTGAAGCCAGTCCCACTAACGGTCACCACCCCATCCCTTGCCACCTGTTGGAGGGACAGTGGAGCCTTGTGCTGGGGCTGCCGGGCCAGGGGCAGGGTGCGGGAGCCTGGCCTGCAGCATTGAGTGAGATCTGATCACAGCTCCTCGACTCCACCTCAGGGTCCTCAGGTGGAGTGGAGGCCCCTCCTCTTTCCCTGCAGTGGTTCAGAGGACTAAGGTGGAGACCTCTGAGACAGGCACACTGCTGACGGGGACTGGGGCTCGCCCTTCCCAGCTCTGCGGTTCTGTTGCTTCGCGTCACGGTGACCATGGCTTACTTACTATAGTTGGCGGTGATGCTAGATTGCCCCAAAAATTATCCTTTGCTAGCAAAATAACAAACAACATCTTGGCTCATTTTTAAAGTCACTGTTCTCAAAAAGAAAGATCACTTGATGGCAAGTCCATGGTGAAGGAGAAAACTGAGCGATCTCTACAGCTTAATACTCTGTAGTGCAAGATTCGGGGCTGCGTCAGCTCCCCAGGGACAGATTCATGGCTGGTGATGATTAGCAGGGCTTCTCGTAAATTGTGGTTCTTTTGCTGGGAATGGAAATTCAATCTCCCTTTCTTCATCACACATAAGCCTGAGCTAAACAGGGGCCCTTGGGCTCTTCCCAGCCTATGAAGAAGCACAGCTCTCCTTATAGTATTGATCTCCATGCCACCCATGGGACAGCCCTGGGAAAGTAGCATGGGGTGGTAGTGTTGGGGAGTATAGCCCATGAATCAAGAAGCTTCGAGTGGCCGGGTGCAATGGCTCATGCCTGTAATCCTGGCACTCTGGGAGACTGAGGCAAGAGGATTGCTTGAACTCAGGAGTTCAAGACCAGACTGAGCAAGAGTGAGACCCTATATCCACTAAAAATAGAAAAATGAGCCAGGCATGGTGGTGTGTTCCTGTAACCCCAGCTACTCAGGAGACTGAGGCAGGAGAATTGCTTGAGTCCAGGACTTTGAGGTTGCTGTGAGCTAGGCTGACACCATGGCACTCTAGCCCAAGTGACAGAGCATAACTCTGTACCCCCCAAAATAAAGAAGCAGCTTCGAGGAATTGGTGGACTTTGAGACAGGCCTAGGAATTAGTTTATGGAAGACAGGAGAGGCTATCCGGGGAGGATGGAGGAGCAAAGGGGAAAAGGGCGATGGGGCACCTCTGGGGGACAGCAGGCAGCGTGGATTGATCGCAGGCCCAGGGAATGGAATGCGTGTGGGAGGATGGGACATGGGGCTGGGAAGAAGCTGGACAGCAGGCAGCCACAGGAGCCATAGGAGCAGGGAGGGCAGGCGACCCTGGGCCTTGAGCCCACCACTGACCATGGACATTAATGATGGTCAGGGAGAGTGCTTGGTGGCCACCACCCCAGGCCACACCCTTGCCAGGGCAGGAGTCTCCCAGAAGACCTGATGAGAGACTGAATATGTCTCAGTGGGCCAAGGAAGTTCCTCTACTGAAAGCCACCCCTGAGGCGGGGCTGCCTGGCCAGGGCCCCAGGGAGGAGTTGCACTTCCTCCCCCTCTGCAGCCTTCAGAAGTTAGTGCTCCGTAGGGAGATGGAGTCTGTGCCTGCACTCTTCCTGTCTGACCACATTGCGTTCGCATCCCTCCTCCGGGAGGCAGGCAGAGGTTACGACGCGTTCTACAGAGGAGGCTCAGAGAAGGGGAGCAATGGTCTGCAGAGCACACAGCTAGTAAGGAGGCCGGATTCACACCTACCGCTGCCTGACTTCACGACAACCTTTCTAAGAAAGCCATGTGCTAGGGCTGGTTTGTCTCAGCTTGTGAGAGCCAGCTGTGCACAATTTCTTCCCAGCTCCACCTTCAGTGACATCTCCCTGGTAGCTCGAGATCAGCCATGGGCGGAGTATTTATACCACAGAACCTGGCAAGCGCTGCAGATCAGCCTCCACCCGCAGGTGGGTCAACGGCGATCAGCATGCCGCCGTCTGTGCGAGTTGTGCGGCAGTGCTCCTGGAATCGAGTGAGCGGGAAGGGCTGCTCTCTCCACGTGAGCGGTCACTCCTGTGAGGAGCAGCAGCATGAGAGGGCTTTACCCATTCGGTCGGCGGTTCGTTGGTTTTACTCTGCATTAGTCCGACAGTTTGATTTGAAGATGTGAGAAAATCAAGGTGAAAGAATGATAAAAATGGCAAAATCCAGTGACACCAGGAGTAAGGGTGCAGGGCAGAATGCAAGCTTCACTCTTGTTTGTTGGTTTGGTTTTAGCTTTAGAGTTTTTTTTAATCTTTATCATAACTACCAAGGTGTTTGTGTTTTCATCATATCCTAAGTTGCCGCATACCCGTGTTTAAAGTGGATGGGGTTGAGATGGCGTCACCTTGAACAAGAGGCCAGTGTATCCCTTGGGGCAGGAGACCACCACCTCGTGTGTGTGCAGCTGCCTGCGGCATTCACTTCCTCTCTCCAAGGCCAGCTCCACTCCCGCGTTAGCTTCTCGAGGCGGAGGTGGGAGTTGGGTCCCAGTGTGCTGGCAGACAGCAGCTCTTCCCTTTCATCTGCCTTTGACCTCTTGATGGACTTGTGACCTGCAACCTCTCACTTGATCTCTGACCTCATAAATTCTGGAAACTCCTCACAAACCACCAGGAAGATAAACATCAGCTGCGGTCAATGGAAGAGGGCCTGAGCTACCCCAGGCAGACAGGGAGGGGGTGTAAGGTCTGCTGGGGTGGGGGTGTCCTAGAACCATGGGTGACTGGGATGGAGGGGGCAAGTGACTCCAAAACAAAAGTAGTTCCACAGACCACGTGTGAAACCCGACCTAGGGCAGGAGCTTCACCTCCGTGGGTCCCGAGGTGTCATTTACAGTGCAGCTCACAGAGCGAGGCCCGACTCCAGACCCAGGCACCAGGCCCTTGGTTTCTCCCTAAGGGATCTCCATGTGAGTGTTTGATGCACATACATGTGTGTATGTGTGTGTGTGCGTGCACATGTGTGTACGGTGCATGCAGTGGCAGCCCAAGAGCGCACCATTTGATTGTGACATGCCATCTGGCTATCTCTTTTCAGCCTGAAATTTTCTCTCTCCCTCCCTCTCCCTGGTCCCCAACCCCTTTCTTGTCCATCTCTCTTCCCAGAGGGTATGAACTGCATGAACAAAGACCATGGCTGTGCCCACATCTGCCGGGAGACGCCCAAAGGTGGGGTGGCCTGCGACTGCAGGCCCGGCTTTGACCTTGCCCAAAACCAGAAGGACTGCACACGTAGGTAGATGGAGGCAACTGGGTCAGACATCCCCACGCGCCTCCTGCCTTTGCTTTGTGGAGGGTCTGTCCAGCCTGCTGGACATTGGCCAGGGAGGGCTGTCAGCCTCATGGGGTGGAGAAAAGGGCAGGGCGTGGGGGAGGCATGAGGAGCAGGAGTGTGAACCCCAGGCTTGGGGTCTTCCCCACCAGGCGTGACACCACCGACGCTGCCCCGGGAGCTGGGCTGGATCTCACACTGGGCCCTGAGCCTGAGCTCTCCAGCAGGAATGGAAGCTATGGCACAGAGGTCTAAAAGCCCAGGCTTCTCCATAGGCCTGGGAAGCCCTTGGTAATGGGGTAGTACAAAGAAGGACAGGAGTTTGGTTTTGGGATCCCGTTCTGGCTGTGCTGACCTTATTTCCAGGGTCAAAGATCAGAACTCACATTCTGACCCTTGCAAAGCTGACTGCAAACAATGATACCTTGGGAGATTTGGGTTAAATGAGGCCTTTGGCCAAAGGTGCCATTTCAGGACCTGCTTAGAGGTTGTTTGCAAGGCTCAAGTGTAATCCAGCCTCTTGACAGGGTCACCCAGTTCTCCAGAAGGAGTGGGAGCCAGGACACAAGTAGGACAGTAGCTGAGCACACTCAGCTGATCCACAAATGCTTCAGACACAGCACACTTGCCCAACAGCCATGTAGGGGGATGGCAGGATGGAGCCACTCCTTATCGGGCAGCAGGGATACCCAGACTGACGTTGCGTCTGCCCCGTGTCTACAGAGAGTGGAGGGGGCTGCTGTGAGCACTCCCCATCTCTGGCTAGAGACAGGCGTTTCATAGCAAGCCCACTTTCTGACGCAGAACGGTGTTATGGAGGCATCCGATTCCAACTCTCAATAGAGAAAGTGGTCCTCACCTAGCTGTTGCAGTGGGAGACTGAGGCTGACCGGCTGTCATAAAGAAAATAACCTTTCTTCCCTCCCTCATTCTGTGGAGAAGACAGCTGGCCCTTGTTGGTCCATCCTCCTTAGTCTGTGATTCTCTCAGCTGTCCTCAGCTCTCCTTTGGGCATCTCGTCACACCTTTCCAACTCATGCTGTCCTCAGGCAGTCACCAAGGCCCTGGGACCCACATTCATCAGGCAAGACCTGATCCGCCCATTCCCCAAAGTGGAGGTGCTTCCTTTTGCCCCAGCTATGATGCGAGGGGTGAGCCAGCCTTCCTGTGTTTTGGCTCTTTCCTGTGGAATAACAAAGATAAGCAGGCATGCTGTCACCAAGGGCAGGACCAGGCAGGGGCAGCCCCAGCCCTGGGACCCCAGCGAGGCAGCCTTTCCTCTATGCCAGACGGATTCCTTTAACTGCAGAGGAACCTCCTGCCAGCCAGCTGCTTTCAGAACAGAAAATGCTAACTTCATTTTCCCCAGTCTTCCCTGTTGTGTGATCCAAGTTTCCTCACAAGAAAGGCCAAGGGCAAGAACACATGGAGTCGGCAGGCTTCTGGATAGCCAGGACAGTGCACTCCCTCCATCAGGGGACGGGCTGCAGGCCAGCGTGGCTGGGACAGCTCACTACCTGATTCCACAGTGCCATCTGGGACAAGTGTCCAAGGACAGTGTGCTCAGAGAGCATCTCCTGAGAAGCTGGCCTATGTGAGCAGCTAAGACCAGCCCCCCACCCCTACCCTGGCTGCCCCATCAGAGAAGAGCTAAACCCTTGCCCGGAACATTTGCTGGTTTCTGGAGCAGCAGTCCCACGTCCCTACTGGGTGGCTGGGTATTGCCAAGGTATGGAGAGCCTGGTGTGATTTCCAGGGCCCTGAAGCCTCCCATGAAGGGCCTGTGCAGGTGGCTGCCCAGCCAGTCCAGCTTTGGTCCCTCTGTGTTGTTAAGGAGGCAGTGTCGGTGTGAACTTAGGTCTGAACTCTGAGACTGTCACTCTTGTTCTTGAGGTCACTTGTGGTCCAGGAAATTTTGGATTGCAAGTTGGGTTGGGGGCTGACACCTGGCTTAGCCAGCCTTTCTGGACCAGGCTGGACCAAATTCTCGTATGTCCAGAACCCAGGATCCACACCAGGGCCAGAGCAGGTTTTCTCCATCCTTCTCTGTCTTCCTAGAGCTTGGGCTCAGATATTTTCATGAGAACTGTAGGCCTCTCCAGGTGCTCGAAGCTCGGCCCATGGGGGTCTGTGAGATGCACAAACACCTGTGTGGAAGGAACAAGGGTCCCTGAGTGGAGACCTCCCTCCAGTTCCCTCAGGCAAGCCTATGTCCTCATTAGAGGCACTTTTGGGGCACAGCCCATCCCAGAAGCCCCCTGGAGCTTGGGGAGAGCTGTCCATAGTATTCTCACTGCCTTCTCCCTAGCTCCATCCCTGCCCACTCTGAAATGGGACTCTGCTCAGTCCCAGAAAGGCACAGGATGCCCAGCCCAAACTGGGTTCTGCCTAGGTCTCTCCCTGTCACCTGAGGTGTGTGCAAAGCTGCAGCCTCCTGGATTGCTTGGCTTCACTGAGCCTCTTCCTGGCCAGAGAGACAAGCTGCTTCAGAGATGAGCGAATGGGACTTCAGGATGCCAGGCTCCACCCCAGAGTGCTAAGAGAAGAGTCACTTCTGCAAAAAAAGGGCCAGAGGGCTTTGTGCTTGAAGCCCCAGTTGTGTTGCCGGAAGCATTTTTAAGATCCTTTAAATTTCACCCCAGAAGTTGAATCCCTCCTTCAGATGGTCATCAGCTCCCTGCAGAAGAGGGGCAGCCCTTAGAGCCTCTGCTTGCCGAGGACAGCATCTGGGGCATGAGCAGACACTTGTCCCCATCAAGCCATTCTCTTTCTATCGTCCTCACCTGCCGTGGAGACTGCCCATGTCCAAGGCTGAAGGGGCCACCGTCACTCACGGCAGTCCTTGTGGAAGGAGGAGTGCCTGAGCGGAGCAGCTGCCAAAGTCAGTTCTGAAATGTTTGGAATCCTTCCCTGGGGAGCTGCCACCAAATGACTTCCCTCTGGTGCCACCCATGCTAATGGACCAGCCTAATAGAACATAATTAATTTAAATTCTCAGGGTTTAGAATTTTTGAACCTTCTGACCATAGTTGGTCTAAGATTTATTTTTGTATATTTGCTCATCATTAGAGTTTTGCCAAGTAAATTAAAAGGTCTAGACAGAATTCTGGACAAATGGTTAAAGTATCCAGGAACACACTGTGTGCTAAGGCCCTGGCGTACCCTTTGTTTTGTGTACAGGTGACAGGCGTGCAGTCTCACTCGCATAACAAAGCAGGGGCTCTGAGAACCCCTCCCAAAGGGACCTTGTCCTCCTCCAGCAATCTCTCTCATCCTGGAAACTGATCATGGGTTTTCTTTTAAATAAAATGGAATTTGTAATTTTTGCTACTTCATGCTGACTCCCTTCTGTTCAGCCCCCTTTTCAGCCAGGCCAGGTTGCTGGTGTTTGGAACACCTTGAGCTTCTGCGCCAAGGGGCACTAGATCCTCCAGGCCACGGGCATCGAAAACTATGCCATGTGTTTTTATTTAGGCCATTTTCAAAACTACACCTCGGATGATATTAATTTGCATAAGTCTGTTTGGACATTGCCAAGCTCCAGGAGGATTAGGGATTTTGGGGGATGGGGTTTGAGATGCCACTGGGACTTGCCCGTCACCAGGCCATCACCTCGGAACTGTGGGGCTGTGGTCACAGGGTGCTGCTGCCTGCACTGGTTCTCCCTTCCTCTGGGTAGACATCATGGGGACATCCTCCACATACCCTAAGACATAGGCAGAGGAAGGAAAGCTCTGCAAGAACTAAGGAAATGAGTGTCACCTCTAGCCATTGGCCAGCCATCTCCCTGCCTCTGACAACTTGCTGAGTTTGTCCTGGTATTAATAGACATTTGCCCCCTTGAGAGAGGCGATTGTAAAGTGTCTTGCAACCTAGGAAGGATAAAGGTGTCTAACTTGTCCCTTTCTTCACGTACTACTGTCTGAGCACATCAGCTGGGTGCCTGCTCTAGTCAAAGCCCACACAACCCCAAATTCATTCTCTGCCCCCTCCCCCCCAGTTCAGCTCTAGGGAGTTAGCAGTCCCAGGGAAGACCCTGGAAGGGCTGAAGTGCAGGGAGATGCATGTCTAGTGCCTGGCAGGCCTCCGTGGTCCTACCCACTGACCATCTTTGGCCTCTCTTTCCCCATAGCCTAAAAGACACAACCAACACCGACAAACTAATTGTTTTTATTGTTCTGTTTACACACACGTGTGTACACTTTGGGCCTAACTAGTAACCTGTAACTATGGAAACGGAGGCTGCCAGCACAGCTGCGAGGACACGGACACGGGCCCCATGTGTGGCTGCCACCAGAAGTATGCCCTCCACTCAGACGGTCGGACATGCATCGGTAAGTAGGTGCCTCTGCCGCACACCACCTTGCGCCACCCCGCCCCACGCGGGTACGCCGCGCGGCCTGGAGCCTGCCAGCACTCCCGAGTCCCGGTTTCCCAGAAGGAAGCGTAAGGGGAACAGGAGGAGGAAGGCCGTGGTAATGATGGAGATGGCAGGTGTCCCCAGAGGAAGCCCAGGGCCAGGCCCCCCTGCCTTGTGTTCCCTGGTGACACCCGCCTTTGGCCTCCCTAACAGGGTTTTCTGCTTGTCCTCATCCTCAAAGTGAGGGGTGGTCCCAGACAGATGTTCTGTGGGGAGAAGGAAGGCGTGTGCACCTGAAAAGGGCATCTTCTCCTGAAGCGCAAGGGTTTCCTCCCTGAGGCAGACGCACGCAGCCAGGTCCACGCAAGCTGCGTGACGGCTCCTGTTAGTCACGTGAGCCGCCTGCCTACCACAGTCTGGGAAACCAAGAGGTTTTTCTCAGAACTTTGCCTTAATTCATTATTGTCCAGAAGTCCAGGGCAGATGGGTGGCATGAGCCCTATGTGGGGTTGGGTGTTTTATTCTGAGGAACCGGCCTCTCTCGGGACTTCTCTCCCTCTTGAAGTCCGCAGCATCGCCCCGCCCCATTTACTCACCTGTCCCGTGAGTCTCGCTCACCTCCCTCCTCCTGGTCCGTATTTCCAAGGGGAAGCTTGAATATTTGTGATTATTTCCTGCCATGATTGCTAGTAGGCTCTTTTCTCCCACTCAGAAGTAGCAGCAGATTTTTTATCTGAGGAAGAGAGGAGTTGCAAAGTTGGCACCAGCGTTCACCCTCTTCTTTCTCTTCAGTGTTAACAAACTTCAGAAACCCCACACAAGTCAGTTAGCACATTCATTATTTATTTTTAAAAGGCCCCATTTCTTGTTGTAAACTCGGAAGGTATTTCTTGAGGGGCCTTCGGGGAAGAGAGAGGGTTGGTAGCAGGCAGAAGTGCGAGGAGCAGAGCTGGCGTCCGCCCCGTCCCCCGGGACTCTGCTCTGAGCATCTCAGGGAGCTGGGCCCTGGGCCGGTGGGGGCACCAGGCCGTCACCTCTAGTCTGGGGCTGTGGTCACAGGGTGCTGCTGCCTGCGGTGGTTCTCCCTCCCTCTGTGTGGTCTCTTCTTTCAGACAGCCATTTTTTTTTTATTCCATTTTTATCTCATTCTTCCTGCTTTTCTGGTGATGGTCCCTGATTGCCTGTCTTGTCTGATAACTGACGTTCATTAATTATTTTCAGAGCAAAAAGCCAAACCAAACCAACCAAATAATCAAAAAAAAAAAAAAAATTAAAAGTCAAACCCGGTCTCAGACCAGTGTCTCTATTGCAGCCTGATCCCATCTAGAACCTCCTCCCCTCCAGCCTCTCTCCCTCTGCTGTCCTGCCTGGGGGCTCTCGCAGGCCACGCTGGCCTCTCGCTGTCTCGTCTGCTCCAGGTCTGCCCAGGGTTTGCCATCTCCAGCGGAGCCGGCCCTGCGGCCGCTGGACCGGTGCAAACAGCTGCCGGGCCAGACACACACCAGCCTTTGTCTAACACATCTCGTCTTTGTCCGCCTGACTCATCCTTTCTGATTTTTTTATTTTTTAATGTCTGCTGCATGTGAAGGTCCCTGCTTGAATCCGCTTTCTAAAGTAACTCCCAAGCCCTTCTTCTCTCCCCTCTCGTTAGAAAACATCCTCCATGCCAACTCCTGCTGCGTTGCTCCCTTCCTGCCAGGATGAGTGCCTTTCATCTAACTTTGCTCACTGTTAATCATCCCCCCTTGGGAACGAGCGTCTCCCTTCTGAGCAAAGAAACCCGCTAACCTCGCACACCGCCCCACAGGAAGCGTCTTGGTGCAGCCAGCACGCTCCCTGGCCCGCCCGGGCCTTTGCTCTTCTGCACGCTCCTAAAATGACTGACCCTTCTCCGCAGCCCCTTGTCGGGCACCTGGATGTTTAGCTCTAGTCCTCTATAGACAAGCAGGCAACCAGCGCTGCCCAATCGACCCCGCGGCTTCTCTGTCTGTGCGATTGGGTCCGTTATGTGTGTGTGTGTGTGTGTGTGTGTTTCCTTCTTAATTTTGCACAAGTGTTTGGCACACTTCACGTCCTTGTGACCGGGCATCTGCTGTCCCAGGCACATCCATCACCGGACCTCGCGGCCCTGTCCCTGTCCCCTTGTCCTGTGCCTTGTCCTGCGCCTGCCTCTCCAGCCTGAGCAGGGCCTGTGATCACCTCTCTCCGTGCGCACCGCAGCGGTGCGTCTGCTTCCAGGCCCTCTGCCCGAGCTGCCGCCACCTCTGTTTGCTCGTGGGCCCTGAGTCCCGTCTGTGACCCTGGGCATTTTGTGGTCATTCCTCCTTTTCTGCACGACCCCCACCCTCGCCCTTGCTGCCTCTCGCTTTGCCCTGAACATACCCACCTGGAGGTTCCTGGGATTAGCCCTCCGCGCGGACGCCGTGCTGGCCCGGTGCACCGCGTTGGCTCTGTGTGCACCACGCCGAGAGGCTGACTGTCTTGGGCCGCGGGAAGTGGGCTCTCATTAACCACCGGCTCCATGTTTGTCCCTTACTTGTGTTTTAGAGAAGGATGAGGCTGCAATTGAGCGCTCTCAGTTCAATGCCACGTCAGTAGCTGATGTGGACAAGCGGGTGAAACGGCGGCTACTCATGGGTAACACTTTTCTTCCACTTCCTTTGTCGTACTTGCACTTGTGTGTGTGTGTGTGTGTGTGTGTGTGTGTGTGCGCGCGCACGCGCATATGTGTGTCTCGGGCATGTGCTGGCGTGTGGGTGTGAGCATGTGTGTGCTGGCGTGCATCTGTGTGTTGTGAGGTGTGCCCACATGTGTGTAATCATGTGTGTCTGTGTGTGAGTGCGGGGGGCTCCAGTCCAGATGTGACCTCACCTTTTCCTTTTTAAAATTTGTACCCTCCATCAAGCACATGTGTTCTTCGTGTCTGCTGGCCTGTGCCTGTGAGGAGACACTTGCGGGCAGGCTCCCCTACTTGCAGGATGCACCCACACTTGCAGCAGGACCCCAGCATCCGCTGAGCCGCAGAGGAGGCGCTCAAGTAGAAGGGGGTCCTTACCCGTCTCCCCCGCTAGGAGGGAAGCCACCATCCAGGGCCTCTGGTACCTCACAAAGGAAAAGCCACCTACTTCTCAGGTGTTGCTCAGAGTGTCTTGGGAGGCTGCTGGCAGGGTTGATCCAGGGCCAGTGTGGGGAAGAGAAGGAAGAGGAGAAAATCACTGCCCTTGGACAGCTCAGTCTGCCTACTCCCTCACTCACTCCCGTGTCCGTCAGTCGGTTCCCCAGGGCTAGGCTGCCGGCCTCTGGGCTGCACTAGCTTCCCGGGGCCTCCTGAGCATAGCTGTCGTCACCGGGGCTCTGGCTCTTGGATAGCTCACACCAGCCTTGGCAGCTGTGGCATTGGGTGGTGCAGTCTTCCTTTTTCAGAGGAAGAAACTGAGGCTCACTGGGGTACCCTGGCTTGCCCAAGGTCGCACACTACCCCACCTAGCTGAGCTCCGCCCAGAGGTCTTGGCCATGTGGGCTGTCTCAGGTGTTGGGGTCACAGGACCATGAATGTCAGAGTCTGAAGGTCCCAGAGAAGTCACCTGGTTTTGTGGACTTTGTGGACTACCTGGTTTTGTGTGTAGACCTTGGAGGGGCTCAGCTGTCTAGAGGAAGCAGGAGGAAGGTTAGGGGCAGAGCATAGGGAGAGAGGTGGCCTTGTATGCTAGTGAGGAAGCTTGTGGCCTGGCCGATGGTGTTCTGTGAACCCTAGAGTCCATGCTAGGCAGTACTCAGATGAGCACACTAAGGGCCAGAGAGGCCAGAGCCTTCCCCTCCCCTGGTCACACAGACAGATGGGACAAGCTCGGGCTGGAAACCAGCTCTCCGCAGATCTTTGGACAAGGCTGTCTTGTTGACTTGGGCAGTCTGGGTTGGCCTGGGAAAAGCTGGAAAGGGTAGAGGGAGTAGGCTTTGAGCCTCCAGCCCAGGCCCCAGCCAGCAGGAATGACCAGTACCTTCCAGGAAGGCAGGAGTCAGTACTGTGGACTTTCTGGAAAGATGGCTAGAGGTGGCAGTGGGAGACCCAGAGTTGTCAGTGTTCTGAGGCCATGCTCAGGTCTCAGCGTCACTCACTAAGAGTGGTGGCACTACTGGCCAAAGCCAGACCAGGGCAGGACCGGGAGCTGGGCCCCTCAGGTACCCCATGCCCTTCCTAGGAAGAGGACAGGTGGCAGAAGAGGGCTGAGCTGCGTTGGCATAGAGCAGGTGGGAGGTGCAATGGGTGGGTCGGTGGGGAGAGGGACCTCTGTACTTCTTTTTATAATTAAAGTTTGTGGAAAATGGCCCAGAACCAGCTCCTGGAGCAGGTTGGGGAGGTGAGGAGGGAGGCACTGAGAGTACAGGTAACCTCACCCTGGGTTTGAAGGCAGACGGAGGCATCGTTTCAGGGATTCTGTGCTAGGCGTTGGGGTGGGGACCAAGGAAATGGCTCTCTGCCTTCCCACCTCTGGTTATCAAAATCTCCACATCCCACCCCCTTAGAGCCTGCCCTGCCCTACAGACAGAGGAGACCTCTCCTTCTGGTCTCCCTGCACCAAGGGGACAGGGCCCACAGCCAAGGCCTCACCCTGAACCAGGTAGCCAGACTCAGAGGCCTAGAGCATAGGCGAGCCCCTATCTCGCAACCTCATAATTCTTAGCACCTGTCTCTGAGAGCCACCTGTGTGATAAATACCTGGCCCCCAGGGAGGTATGGCTGTCCCCATGCTGTATTAATAGAGGCAAGGTATGGAAAGCAAGGGAAGTGACTCTTCCCTTCTGCCCCATGCTGGTCAGAGCACACCTGGGCATCACACTGAGAGCCAGGCCCTGTGCCGAGAGAGCAGCCTGGATGGGGAGGGGACTCGGAGCAGCTCAGCCCCGTCCGTCAGTGCTGCCGCATCACTGGCCTGTAGGAGGGAGCACCAGTGCTTTATCCTGACAGCCCTGGGCTGCTGGGCAGCTCGAGCCCTGTTTGGGGTCTGACAGGCAGAGGGGAAGGACCCAGCCACAGATGGAGAAGGCAAGACATGGCAAAGTCAGACCCTGGGCCACCAGACTCCCAAGTCTGTGCCCTGGACCACTGCACTGGCCAGCTCCCACGAGAGCTGGAGATGGGTGCCTGGCTGCGAGAAGAGACTGGGAGGCCAGAACGGTCTGATGTGAGCAGGGCCCACTGGAGTCCTGGGACAGGCTTCCTCCCGAGCAGGGCACCTGTGCCATAGTCACATGGAGGCTAAGACAGCCCGCAGGTTTCTTCTGGCCCGGAGTTGCCAGTGATCTCCTGTGTTGAGAGTTTATTTTTAGAGTCGGTAGGAGAGGATGGAGAGAGGGCTCCCTTCCTCCCAGGAAGTGGGCAGGTTCAGAGAGCTCAGGGCAAAGGGCTCCCAGGGCTGCTTTTGCCAGCCCTGTGAACCTCTGGGCACACCCATCTTTGTCATTCTCCCTGTGGGCCACACGTCGGAGCAGACTTGCCTGCAGGTCCAGAGTGAAACCTCCTCCCTGTGGGCTCTCTCCTCTCCCCATGGGGTGCCCAGGGCCACGCCCTCCGTCCTGGGTGGGCACGCTGTCAGTCTCCTGGAGGGCGCGTGGCCTGAGTGCCACAGCTCCATGCAGGCTTCCTGTCCAACTTGCTTTCCCCCAAAAGCAGATGCAGGATTTAGATTTCATATACTCTTACCAGCTGTTTAAATTAGAATTATTTTGGAAATACTTTGTGCCTAGGCTGAAGAGGTCAGAGTCCCTCAGATATCTGCAAGTCTTTTAATTAACAGCTTCACCTTTTAACACAGCCAAGAGCCAGGGCAGAAGCGAGAACCAGAGGACACAAAATACGTGAACAGAAACTGAGGCACTTTGCCCATCTCTGAGCCTCTCAGTTCCTTGCTTGAAACCTGCCAGCTCTTTGTTTGCTCAAGTTGTGACATTTTGATTATAAGGTTCCCAGGTTTATAAACCAGAAGTGACGTGACATGAACACGAAGTCATATGAACCCCAGTGTTGACTGAAATTCTGCAGTGTTACTTGCAGCAAGTCTGTGCTCTTGGCTGCCACCTGGCCAGCTCCCAAGACAGTCCTTAGGTGCACAGAACTTCATCCTCTGGCAGCACCAGGATACAGAAATGGCCATCTCCGTCAGAAGCCACAGAGGGGAGGACGTGGCTCAGAGGGGTTCAGTGGCTGCAGCTGTGCAGCTGGCGAGGACGGAGCCGGGATTCTGGCTCCAGGAGGGAGGAGAGTGCCCCCAGCAGCAGACACGGTGGTTGGCAGTCTGGCGTGTGCATGGGAAGAGAGATTACCTCCAGAGAGCTGTTCTGGGGGGCTGGGGGCCCGGGGCCGCTAGCACAGTGGTGTGGGGCCATTCAGGGCTATGCGGCCCTGCCGCACTCTGGGGTTCTCAGTGGCACCGAGCAGGACTGTTTATGGCAGTTACCTGTCACTGAGCACAGGGGAAGGACAGAGTCAGTTATGTTGACTTTAAAGAGGCCTCAAAACATGTAACCAACTTTAGATTGCCATGAAAATCAGTTACAGTTTCTGAATTTGAAGGGTAGAGTGGTAAATGTCAAGGACCTGGTAGGCTTGCTCCGTGACACACCTGTGTGCCTAGCGACGGGTGCGGGTCGAAGTTTGCCGCAGGCTCCTTGGGACCCTGCTTCTGGGGAGATGGGCGGGATGCTGTGGGTCAGATGTGTCAGCTTCGGGTTGTGCAGCAAGTTCGTTCCCCAGAAGAACGCTGAGGGCAGGTGATGTGTTCATTTCCTACTGCGGCTCTTAACAAGTCACCACAATCTTAGTGGCTTGAAACAATGCAAATTTATTATCTTCTATAGGTCAGAGATTGGACTTGGCTCTCACGGAGCTAAGATTGTAGTATGGGCAGCTCTCAGGGAATCCCTTTCTCTGCTTTCCCAGCTTCTAGAGCAACCCATGTTCCTTGGCTTGGGGCCCATCCTCCACCTGCGGTGCCAGCAGGCTGGCCTCTCTGTGACCCACCCACTGTCGCAGCCCTTTCCCTAGCCCAGCTCTTCTGCCCCCATCTGCCACTTTTAAGGACCCCTTGTGATCTCACTGGGTTCATCCAGATAGTGCAGGGTCACCTCCCATCCCAAGGTTCCTAACACTTGTAAAGTCCTTTTTGCCATGTAGGATCACAGGTCCTGGGGTTAGGACATGGATATTTTAGGGGCCATTATTCTGCCTAAAACAGGTGGTTGAACTTGGGCTGGGAGAACCGCCGTCTGGGTGGAGCCCACACCTGCCCTCCTCAACGACTTAGCCCCAGGATCACGAACATCCCAGCATGCAGCAGGGGCTCCGGGGCCAGTCCTGAGAGTGTGGGATGCACCCCACCCCTTCAGAAGGGCCACTCTCATCCCCCAGCCCCTGCCTCAGGCAGCCTCACACCTCGCAGCTGCCCCCCCTGCCTGAGCTCTTCCGCCTCACCAGGACCACCGCAGCATTCTACAGTTTGCAAAGGACTTTCCAGCTGGCTCACCAGTGCGTCTCCCACAACCCTGCGAGGCAACTGTCCCCATTTTACAGGTGAAGAACCTGAGACCCTGAGAAGGGAGATCACTCGGTCAGTAGGCAGCAGTCTGGGCCAAGGTCTGAG